GTGTTATAAAGCCCCTACTTTATTCCAAGAATTTTATAGTTTTAGTTCTTACATTTAAATCTTCGGTATTGGAGTTAATTTTTGTATATGACATAAGGCAAGTATCCAACTTTATTCTCTTGCATGTAGCTGTCAGATTTTCTAGCATCATTTGTTTAAATCTATTTTTTATCTGTAACACAAAGTAATTCAAGCAAATAGCTCTAAGTCTTTTCTGGCACTTAATGTTTTCTGATTCTGCTTCCTTATGTTAGTTCTAAAATAACTATATTCTAGCTGCAAATCGTGTCTCAGTCTTCATTTTATTTTATTTTATTTTATTTTTTGTTCCTCGAATGCCTTCAGGGCACTTTTGGCCAGCTGGAGAGTTGTGAGGTTCAAACTCCAGCAACCTGAGGCTGACAGCTTTGTGGAAGCAGCCACTTAAAGGCCTGAGCTAGGGCCAGGCCCCCTCAGTCTTCATTTTAGAATCTGTGATGAAATCTGTATTCATTTCGTCTCTGTCATTTGTGAGGGTATCATGTGCTTTTCAGCCACAACTTTTCCAAACTGAAGTACCCTTTCCTTACTTGGCCTGTGCTAGTATGGCGCATCCTCAGGCTGTCCTGTTATCATACTCTTACCTCTTCTGAGCTTTCTCTTATTTTTAGGAATAGTATTTTAAAAATAAGCATCATCATTTTTGTAATATATAGATGAGTTATTTTATGATTTTTTTCCATTTCAGTCATATAAAGCCAGTATTTTTAACAATGAGTATATTGGGCCAACCCTCTAGGTTTTGAAAAGGACTAAGGTGAACAGTGGGGTCCTTTTCCTAATCAAGACCCACAGCTCACCGTCTTTTATTTTAAATTCTAATACTTTTTCTTTGTGGTTTTGAAAATGCAATCTTTTCTTTCAGAGTAGTATTGCATTTTCTTTGAGACTAGAAAATGTTCAATTAGCACAAGTATTCTATTAAAACTTTAAAAGGTACACTAACTTGTTAATTAACAAGTGTTTATTATATGTGTGCAAGACAGTGTTCCACAAGATGAGGACAGTGAAAGGGATGAATGCATAAATAGTTGTTGAAAAGAAAAATAAATATATTTCCTGTAGAATATAGGCTTCAAGGTTTAACTTTTAGTTCACCTTCATAAATTATGTTGTATGGTTCTTTTTGTCTTTGTTTACTGTTTTATCTACCAGATCTGTAGTGGTGTATTAGGAGCTTCCCAACACATTGTTTCTGTAAATTTTCTCTTATAACTTTATCTCATATTGTTTCATATACATTCCTGGTTATGTTTTTGAAAAATCTGAATTACTGCCTTTGAACTTTAAATTCTGATTTGATATTAAGATTGCCATGTAGTACTAAAAGTTATCTTGACAGAAAACAGTTCTGTAAATTTCAGCTAGTTTAAATGGAGAAATGAAGGAAATCAGTGCCAGAAGTACAGTTAGGGCGAAGGGGGCAGGAGGCGCTGAGGGCCCCACAGGCCAGCAGTGCTGAGGGAGCTTCGCCACTGCAAGGGGGTCTGAAGGACAAGGTGAAGAAATAGAGTCAGCTTCAATTTCACAACTACTATATTTGGTTTTATTTCTGATATCATGTTTTATGCTTTCTATTCTGGTTTTCTATGGTGTTTTCCTTTTGATATATTTTTTAAACTCCTAAAAATAGTTAAAGAGGGGGCC